GCTAAAGAATATGTGGAGGGGTGTATGTGGTTGACCATGTGCATATATTCCCATTTTGTTTTTTATCATCACTAGCCGCGGAATCATAGTATCATATCTACGGTAATCGACTTGGTAGTTTTCAAGGTGCAACTCCTATTCGAAGTGGCAGCATCAGCATTGCCGGATGATCTATCGCAGCTGCAGAGCTTTCAGCTGTGCGCGATAGCCCAGGCATACTCTAGGGTGAGTTGAATTACCGCGCGCCACGAAATTAAACTCTCTAATAGTTTCAGTGATAATCACGAGCAGTGTTTGAATACACGTTCGCTCAGCTGAGGAGTTTGTATAGGAAGTAGGGTAGGAGTGTACAGAACCGGTTTCTGAGAAACCAAGGAGAATTTGCCAAAATTTCATCAAAAATTTCATGTTGTCACCCACACGTGTTGTTGGGTATGAGCATGCTTTCCTGACATCAAACGAATCAACAATCCTCTGCTATTGCGGTTATTACTGTTTGTCTTTCAGCTCGGCTTTTACTCCCCATCTCTGCTGTCGGCAATTTGTGAGGAGTTTAATACTCGTCTTGAATCTGATACCACTACAGGGAGTAGTCGGAGGAAGCCTGTGACGCCGCTGGAAGCACACAGGTAGGAGATCAGTGATAACGGCCGTTTTGTGAGCATACCGCAACAGAGGTGCATAGTCAGTTTTTGGGAGAATATAGGTTCGTTTTCCTCAGCTGAGCTCGGGAGTTTTCTCAATAGTTGTAGAAGTTACAGAAACCGACTCAAAAAATCATCAGAATTTTCGTATTGTCACCAACACATGGAGTTGACCATGTGCAAGTAGAATTTTTGGGAACTATTGTTGGTTTCTCGACACTTCTACCAGAATTCCTATATATCTCCTATAATTAGTGAGGAAACGCCCAAACTCAGCTGAGGGAAGTGAGCATATTATCCCCCCACTGGGTGGAAGGGGCTTGTGGGTTGCGACTTGTTTATATTCAGATTTATAGTGTCTGTTGCGATGGTGGCTGATACTACTAGCGATGAAGTCGGAGGAGCTCTAAAGCGATGTGTTGATAATATGATTACGAAATGCCTTTATTATACTACTACTCAACTGGACACTCGAGGGTGTTTGCAGCTGATAGCAGCTCTGCGAAAGCTGAAGCATTATAATGAGAAGTTCGTGAACACTCGGCTGGTCGGGAGGTCCCGGGTTCGAACCCTGGTGACGGTATTTTTTCAGTTACCGACTTTGAATAATCATTACATGAAGAGTAGGGCTGCTCCTGCTGGTGCGGAGGAGGGTCTCGCTAGGATTCACGATGGAGTGTTGATAATAGAATGCCTTTCGTCGATGCCACAGGTGAGGGAAAAATTCATGCAGCGCTTCGCTCCGCTGTTGGCTTTTCGAGAGCATCCTCTGTTGCAGTAGAGGAAATCGCGTGTTTATCTCCGGTATGATACCACACTTCGCGCTCATCGTAGCTTCTTAGACTACGGCTATGACCGCCAGGCTGCAGGAAACGATCCTTTACGATGTGATTGATTCCATCACAGCTATGGATTTACCGGCATCAGTAATACCACACCTTCGCCTCATCCTAAATCGGGCGAACCTTCCTCCTTGGAAGTTCTCACGTGTGAGACTGTCAGCTAAGGTGTGGAAAATAGTCAACTTTAATAAGAGCGTTTTCAAGACTGAATTTTAAACATGTATCACTTTAAGAGGAGCTTGGGCGGCCTTTTTTGGTAGAATCGATCAGCGATGGAGTTCCTATCGGTTATGTCCCGTCTGGTGGTGGTCTTACTGTCATCATCGAGTGAATCGACAGTAGCAGGGGAGTTGTGGGAGGCGTGTCGGCCGAAGCTGATCAGAGCTATCGATCGACGACTTGTGATGTCGGACAGGTG